ACGAATTGTTTCACCATTAAATCTTCTCATTTGAGACCTATTTATCAGCCGCATAGCCTTTTTTTATAAATTTCACTAGGAATTGCTATCAAGGTGTTCTGTGAGATCCAATGACCAGGCTAATGGCACTTTTTCGTCATTTTGGTCCTAAAATAAGTTGAAAACAAATGTTTTTTGGACAAAAAGTATAACACACTTGATTTTGAGACTTGCCTAATACCTTCCTAGGTACGAACAAGATTTTTGCACCAAACCTATTCGGAAGAACGAATAAATTCTACTTTTTTCTCATTCCTTCATAAAAAAACCTAAAACCTAACCCATGTTCAGTCGTCGCCTTTTTAGGGTGGAGGTGTACAAAATTCAATTTCTCAGAAACGGATGTACCTATCGAAACCAAATATTGAACATTCTTCTTCTTCTTCTTATTTGGCGCTGTAACCGCATAAGCGATTTTTGCCGAGTTCAACAAAGCACGACAGTCGTTTCTTTTCTGTGCCAACTGACGCCAATTGGAAATGCCAAGTGAAGCCAAGTCCTTCTCCACCTGGTCTTTCCATCTCAGTGGGGGGTTTTGTCTTCCTCTGCTATCACCGGCGGTTTCCGAGTTAAATACTTTCAGAGCTGGAGCGTCGGTGTCCATTCGAGCGACATGACCAAGCCAGCGGAGCCCGTTTAGTTTAATTCGCTGCACTATATCCATGTCCTTGTAAAGCTCATACAGTTCATCTTTGAATCGCATGTGATACTCGCCGTCGTCAGCTCGTAAAGGTCCGCAAATCTTCCGCAAAATCTTTCTCTCAAATACTCCAAGAGCCGCCTCATCGGATGTTGTCATTGTCCATGCTTCTGCGCCATATACCAGCACGGACATGATCAATGACTTATATAGTGTGGTTTTCGTACCTTGAGTACGTCCCACTATAAGACTCACCTTTCAGGTAAATTATAAGATAATGGGCCTTATGTATAAAAAGTGGGCTTAAGCTCAGATTCAGTTTTTCCACTGAAGGGGTGAGCTCAAGCTCAAGAATTTGTTCTGAAAATTGATTCGGAGCTTAAACTCACTTATTATGCATGAGGCCTAATATGTTATAAGCCGCGCCCACCGCTAACGCAAGCATACAAAAACGCGTCCTTTGAGATCGTACTTGTACGCGTAAAAGAGATTTTAAGAGTTAAATATCAAAGCTATCTATTTGTATGGAGTCTATAGCTCTGCAATAATCACGCCTGATAAAACCAAAATCAATTTTTTCAAGGTTTTTTGTTACGAAATGCAATAACGAAAGAGTCCTGGTTTGTATTAGATCAGTAATAAATCAGTTATATCTTGGGTTAACATCGCAGTTTTAGTTTTTGATAACTGCTACAAATTCGATATATATATNGAAGAAGAAGTCTTCTTGTATGGCATCGTCGAAAGGCTTTCATATTTTTACTACTTTATTCTCTCGGGACCTGGTACTCAAAGTAGCTGACTATTATTGTACTTAGCAAGTGCGTTAAGGTTGTAAATGAACTGAAGGACTAGAGGTAATTTGCCCCATAGTGTAAAGCAGTCTTGAGTGCCGCCTGACTGTCGCTAAGGATTAAAATTCTCTCATTACAGTAGTTTCTACCCAAGTACATTCTGCATGTGTCTTATAGCCAAGACGTTGGCTTGAAAAATGCTCGGAAAGTTTTCCATTTCCACGGATAGTCTCATGTGAGGCCCATAAATACCAGTCCGAATACCTTTTGAGTTGTTGGAGCCATCCGAGGCCCATAAATACCAGTCCGAATACCTTTTGAGTTGTTGGAGCCATCTGCATAAAACTTGCATGTACATCTCCATAATTCAGTAAGTCCAGGTTACTTTGCTGCAGAACTATATTTCAAATTTCTTCTCGAAAGCAACTACCTTGTTCCTATCTTCTCTGGGGAAGTGGTATGATTGGACCTGGGTTCTTAACATTTCCATATTCATGTATAATAATACCTTTCATCTGCCAAAGCCATATCTGGAAAAGTATAAGAGAGTACGCTAGGCTATCCTAGGTTATCTATAGGTTCTAGAATCACCACTGGTGCTCTCGCCGGACATATGCGCATCATAATGCATACACAGGCCAAGCGACTGCCCATAAGTATGTATGTAGACCAATTAAATATCCACTCAAGTATCATAATGTATTTTACACATGTGTATGAATATACTTAAATAAAAGCTCATTTAGTAAAACTAGTTCAAGGGTCATATTTATTTAAAAAGTATGTCACATATACATAAGAAGATAAATGAAAAATAATAAATAAGATATTTAGCAATCAACTTACACGCCACTCTTAGATATACTTTAAGATCGTTTCAATATATATATATATATCTATATGTATAAAGCCACAGCGACTTCCTCTATATATGTGTNTATATATATATATATATATATCTATATGTATAAAGCCACAGCGACTTCCTCTATATATGTGTGTAGATAATCTTCACAAAGCGTTTATTAACATGGTGAAACATTGTGCTTTCAAGAGTCCAGTTGATCACTCGAACATATGCCATTTATATGTATGTACTTCAAATTTACGATGGGTTTATATATGTATGTACATATTTATGATATGCGCGTATATAATGAAATAAGTATGTAGCAGCGTCTTTGAAACAATCGACATCTGAAGCATTTCTAATCAAACCCTACGGTCATAAAAACCTACACTTACAAATTAACTTATGACTCGAAGATAACAATTTCCAGCTCTAACTTAGCAATCTTAAAAGGCTATTCCTCCGTTCGGAGCTGAAAATTTTGTTAATTGTGTTGCGGCCGCTTAGCTGATCGCGTAATGTACCGCAACAAAATGAACGTGAGTGTTGCAGTCCTTTTGGCCACTTCATTGGCCTTCATTGTATCCTGTGAAGCGGCAACACACGGCATTCCACCACTCTTTGGAGAGAATCCTTCCGCACGCATCGTAGATGGGAAAATTGTTGCCTCCGGTGCAGCGCGTGCAGTCCTGGACTATCGGCTGCCGAACACAACTGAACCTGTGCACTACGACGTCGAAGTGACAACGAATGTGCACAATGGCACAACGGCATTCAATGGTACAGTTAAAATTCAAATAAACGTTAACGAAGATACAAGAACAATAGTTTTGCATGCGCGTCAGCTAAGTAATTTCACGGCAACTATTTCAAACGCTTCGGTAACGGGAGGACAAATTCAAGCGTTAAATATCTCATATGAAGAGGAACGAGAATTTCTCAGCTTAACGCCAACGAACCAATCGTTAACGTTCAATAAAGGCAGCAGCTGGGTTTTGACCATCGCCTATCAAGGTGAATTGCGTACTGATAACGGTGGATTTTACTTATCCACCTACGATGATGACAACGGCACGGAACGGTGAGTGCACACTTGTTTTATATCGCAGGCATTTTTTTTTATATGCAGAATTTCATATATTCCGTACCTTCAGGTATATAGCAACGACGCAATTCGAGTCGACCGATGCGCGCCATGCCTTCCCTTGCTACGACGAGCCAGCCAAGCGTGCAACATTCTCCATCGTTATTAATCATGATCCCTCATATAATGCCATATCGAATATGCCTTTGGACGAGGAGGCGAGCAGGTAGAGTGCATTATTATCTTTTGAAAAAAAAATGTAAAGCAATGACATGTTCCTTTTTTCTCATTTAGACCCGGCTACTCTGTCTTCCAGAAGACGGTTAATATGCCCACTTACTTGGTAGCGTTTATTGTGTCCGATTTTGAATATTCAGAAGGCGTACTGTATTCACGCCCACAACGTGTTTACACACGACCAGGCACTGTAAGCGGTCAGGAATTCGGTTTGGTTTCCGGTTTGTTGCTGCTGCAGCGACTTATCGAATACTATGATGTGGATTTCGCACTACCAAAAATGTATCAAGTAGGCGTGCCAGATTTTGCAGCTGGTGCCATGGAAAACTGGGGTTTAGTTACATATCGCGAAGAATATATAATATATAATAAGAACACATCCACAACTAGTACACAAACAAATATTGCCACAATCATCGCACACGAATACTGTCATCAGTGGTTTGGTAATTTGGTAGCCATTAAATGGTGGACGTACCTTTGGCTTAAGGAAGGTTTTGCCACCTTGTTCTCCTGGCAGGCAACCGATGCGGTAAGCGCTTGAAAGGGATATTTTACTAGCTTAAGGCTGCTTTTATTTTCAATTTTGTTTTCTTTACACCTACTAGGCCTATCCTGAATGGGATATCTATCAGATGTTCCTCACCGACGACTATCAACGCGCACTTACCGCCGATGGTACAGGTCTAATGAATCCAATGAGTCATTATGTGCAAACGCCATCTGAGATCTCCAGCCGCTATNAACGGTTACGGTCCCTGATTTTACTAAATTTTAGTGGATTAGAGTTCGCATATCTTCTTTAAGAAATCTCTAGCGAGATACAGCTAGCAAACGTAGAGTAATATCAGAAGATATGCCAATTAATACAAATTTACTAGATAACACGGCCACAAAAAAAAATTCGGGGTTCGGGTAGCAGACTAATTTTTCTACATGTATGTATTTTGATGCGCTGACCATGAATCTGAAGTCGGTTTTACTCTAACACATCAGAAATTGAGGTAAGGAAAAATTCTTGATGTGAGTGAGTGAAACAGACTTCCGATTAGGGATATTCCTGAAGTCTAGCAAAGCCCTTGCATGTTGCGCAGATTGCACGGTTTTCAAAGCTGTTCCATGGGGACCGTGCAAGCCGTGCACCGTGTAAGGGTTTTGCAAAACTTCGAGAATACCTCTATTTCTTTTTTTTGCCGAACTTGGGACTTGCTTTTTATATTTTTCGTCAAATCTTCGGCATTTACAGTCGAATCTTAAATTATCATATACATATTCATGCCTTTTCCTCGAGAAAACACTTTTTTATGTTTCAAAATTCATTGATCTCAGTTCTTATCACCCTAATGTCAGTAAATTAAAACTATCCCAAAGTCATTAAGCTTTTGCCAAGAAAGTATTTCCATTATTCCGGTATAACTATTAAAAAAATAATAAAGCATGTACGTAGGTTTCAAAGAAAAATGTACAAAAGTAACCCCGTAGGTTCATCAAAAAAAAATTCCCCAAGTTGCCTTACAAAACTACTTTAGACTCGAGGGTGCACGGCATATTATTTTCCTGTAAGTGGGTGCAGTCTAATGTATATGGAAGACTAAAAATGACTTTTTATAAAAAGACTTGAGAGAAATGAACTACAAAGAGTGTTAGGTGAATAGGGTTAGCTTGGAGCTATAGTTTTAGTTAGCTTAAAAAGTTGTATTTAAAATCAAATTAAATTTTTGTT